GTTTAATGACAGTTTAGAGTACCTGTTATAGATTTTGACGTTGACGGTGGCGTTATGAACACGCGGACCGGGACGAGAATAAAATAATAATAGTAAAAAGAGAAAGAAAAAAAAAAAACAAAAAAAACAGTATCGCTCGTCACACAGTAGTCGGCCGAGGTGCACGCGGGCGAAAAAACAAACCCGATGGGACGGAGTTCGCGTTTGTGCATACACGTATGTATGGTTTTTTTTTTTTTTTTTTTAGCGGAGGAAAAAATTCCCGAAGGGACGGTCGCGAGCTACATTATTGTACGCGTAGTATAATGCGTGCGTGTGCAGTGTGCACGTGATGTAGGTATATGTAGTGTCGGCGGCGGTGCAAAATAAAAAAAAAACCCGCGTTCGATTCTTTTTCGCTCCCGGCGACGTGCGTTTCGTCCTGGAGGAATGCAATACAATAGCCCCCGCTGTCGTACGACGATAATAATATTGTTGTTATCTCGTAGTATGACGTCGAATTCGCACGCGGAATAACACAAGTCGGCGGCGGCGCGATAACGTTGCGACAACCGCGTCTTTTCGCGACGACTCGTACCGTATTCCGTTCAACAATCTCGGCGTAGGGGGGGGGGAGGAGTTTATTATTTTCCCCCGCCCCGCAGTTTTTTTTACGTTTTCGGTTCGGGGTGGGGAGGGGGGGTATTTCTTTAAACCGTGTTTCTTGCGAGCGTCGTGTTACCGGGTGTGCCTGCGAACAGCAAATAGCTCAAACCTTTTTTTCGGGAGGGGGGCACTCGATAAACTACTCCCCCCCCTCTTCTCTTCCATAATGACGATTAGGAAAACAACGCGTTCTCGGCGTCAACTCGAATCCGGGGCCAAGTTTCGAACGTTTTAAACCTCTCCGCAACATTCGGGCAAACGCGCTCTGGACTATGTTATTACGTACTTGTCGTTTTGCATACACGGTTACGTTTCGTTCGTTTTACTTTTATTTGCTTTTGTCATTTCATAACTGCAACGAAACGTCTTTTTTTCCCGGATATTTTAATTATTTTCTTTTCTTTTTTTTTTTGAATACGATCGACCGTCGAGGTTCGGGTAAACAGCCACCACACCTGCAGTACGCGAGTTTTAACATAAGAACACTGGAAATACTGTCGCGTGCAATCGCGACGTTTATTGTAACCGCCATAACAACTGTAGTACAGAAAATATTATTATACTCCTTGAAAATCGATTAAATATTATGTATGTATATATGCAAATGTGCAGAATCGAAACGGCGAAAAGCCGAAAAAAAATAGCGCGCGCATGTGCACTACGCTAAAAAACGTAACCATTAATTCGAAGATCGGCATTGTCGAGCATGCAACAAGCGGACGCGACAAAACCATCAAGTCGGATTTCTATTATGCGTTCAAGTTCGCATATTTTGAATTTCCGACTTTTTGCGGGACTTATGTGTTTACGTTCACTTGGTCGTGCATCGTTTTTTGTTTGCAACGATTTACCAAAGCCGCTTTCAAACAACCAACAATAGCGCGTAACAATTTTCGGCTCCAAAGAACCGTCGACCATTTCGAACCTCTGCGCACAATAATAATGTCACAATAACAAATGTCGCCCGGGTTTTCAGACAATTTTCAGTAACGAGCAGCTCTTAGGTTACACTGCGTTATAGTTCGCCGCCTTTATTTTCGGAGGCGAAACCCGCTTTCGACTTCCACATAGCAACCTATATTTGAGATATTTTCCAGTTAAGTTTGATCGGGGGGAGAGAAGTGGAAGATAGAATTATAATCCATTATTCTCTCTATTTTCAAAATAACGTTAATGTAACATTTTTCTATTCGCAGAGGCCGCTTGTTGCGCACATTTCGTAAAATATTATAAGATTCGTTTTATAATATAATCAATCATAACACCTATTTCGAATACGGACAAAATACGTTGTTTGCGTATACGTCCGCGTTAGAAAATATGATTGCTGTACCCGTAAATAGTATTTTCTCGTTTTACATAAAAAAAAGGACGGACATATTTCGCACATGGGTGCAGCAACTTTTATAGGTGGAAAGTTGGGAAGATAGGATACAGACGGGAATCTAATGTATATCTGTAAACAACGACAAACTGTTGCTAACGAAAAAACTCAAGTTGTTTGTGTACCTTTGTCAACAATATGTATATCATATTATGGTAAAATGATAACAAAAATGTGCGTTTCCGTGACAGCAACGATTGTTTAAAATTAAAATAACCATAATAATAACGAAAAATAAACAAAAATGACTGCCAACGACAACCTTATTTTTTAAACTTACGATATTTTTTAACCTTAAGAACCAGGTTTTCCTCATTATCACGAATATTAATGAGAATTTTTAAAACCAATACATTCCTCGCTCCACTCAGAATCTAAAAAAAAAAACACGTTTACTCGAGTAAATAATATTGTTATTAAATTCGTAAAAAAAAAAACGTATTTATTTACGGTACTGTTTTATTCGTTAGTCGCGGCTCGTCGCTCGCGACGCGTATTATATCGAAACGCGTCAATACGTTTATCTATAAAAATATTAAACATTTCGAATCGTTATTTTTTATCGTATTGTTTTAACACATAAAATACGTGTAACGGCCCCCAAGCCTTAACGTAATAATAATTACGCTTACGAGAAACGGAATAAAACAGCCGAATTCATTATGTTATTATCGTACCGGCTGCGGTGCGTGAAAACGGTTTTGTCGTCGTCGTCGCCACTGTTTTAGACGCGAACGCAAATCAAATACGCGTTCCATACATACGTAATCGCACAAAATGTCAACGGGCGAGGCGATTCGGATGCACTCGAAATGTGTTGTGAACGTTGAAAAATTATTTTGTTTACGTTTTAACGACCGACTTGAAGCTGATAGCAATAGTTTTTTTTCCGCTAAAGGGCGCGTGCTGAGTCTGTATTTCGAACGTACGACCGAATCCGTGTTCAGCGGGGACAAGTTCAGAGCTGGATCAAAGGAGGTGGGCTTAGGGGGACCATTACCTCGGACCGCAAGCTAAAGGGTGTCACAAAATTCGTATTTTTCAGGCTTCCATAACCCATAATCCGGCCCTGGGCGTGTTTACACTATTGGTTTTAATATTATAGAGCGAGTGGACCCTATATACAATCAAACCCGATGGAAAGAACATTGTTTGTGCAACGTTGGCGCTATTTTTACGATTTTTTAATTTTTAATAGCGATATAAGCATTATTCAAATACTGTGATACATCGCAAACTCGTATCTGTCGTAGAGATTTAAACATTGATAAAATAGCGCTAACGTTGCACAGATAGTGTTTTTATCTTTCATATAGTAGGTCGTTTCACTCTAATTCAAAACTAACAGCACAATGTTGTGTCTGCTGAATGCACATTTTCTATGTCGTTCGTTTGTAAGACGGAGGCATCACGTGCGGGCATCGGGAAGAGATGTACGGTCGTTTTTACGGACAAACATGGATTTGACATATTTTTACCGATAAATTAATTACTAAATTGATAAATAGCGAAATTCCACTGTTCGCACTCAACTCGGATGTTTTATTAGATATTTAAATGCATGGTGGTTATAAAATATAAAATTATTGTAAAGTTTGAAATCGATATGTTGAAAAACGGAGTTCAATGCGAGCCGAAAAGAATGTCTTTATTTTTCCAACAAAAAAAATAATCGTCAAATCGAACCATATCCTACGAGACACGAGAAGTTTTTCTCGGCCGAAAATCCCTTATTAAGGTGTCTCGTCACTGGCGTATTTTTCTTCTCTGTCTATTTCTCGCGTAACACAGTAACAACAGCATTCTGCACGAACACGATTGCTACTCTCCGGTTGAGTTTAGGGCAAAGAGATGAATTATACATTTTATAAAGACGAGTATTTACTGTGGACAGTACGAATAATTTCGTTTGATATTTCCATTTCTCAACGAGTTATTAGTGGTTAAAAACACGTAAATATTGATAAAAAAAGTAAATATTAAACAAATCGTTCGTATGATCCGTAGTAAATACTCTTCTTTATAAAACGTGTACGTACAATCGGGTCCTTTGTCCTAAACTAAATCGGAGAGCCGTAATCGTGGAAATGCGGTGTCAGCTCTTACGTTTTATTTTTTTTTTTTCATTTTTTCTTCACCACTTAAACAACTCTTAATACGATGAACTTTGTATCGAATTTTCGAGTAATCGGGGGGTGCGTCCGTGTTTAAAAACGTAATTATCGATCTCCGGAAATTCCGTTACGGTTTAATAGACGCAAAGCGGCCCCTCTATACGTTATTGGGTCCGGACCCGGCGGGAAAAGTACGACGATCCCGGAGATCGACGGCAGGACCGCGGCCGCTAAAAGCTAAATGGGTTTTTTTTTTTTTTTTTTTTTGTAAGACCGCTAAAAATAGCTATCGAAACGAAGCCGACCGGGTCGTCGAGACGCCAAGATGTACAATGATAATACACACACCGCAGCGGGGTAATAAGACTGCGTTCTTAAGGGGGTGCGCGCCGGGGCACAAAGGAAACATTATATTATGCATTATAGACCCGGGGACCCGAGACCGACAAAGGGACACGTTTTCGTTTCGTATGCGATACGTACGTTCGTGACAAATTCGGTGTAATAGAAGAAGTATAACGTTATATATTATACACACATGCGCGTATAATATAGAAGACATCACAATAACAATAAGAGCAAAAAATATTTTAAAATTTACGACCAACCCTTTTTCCTATAATAATATCCAGTACTCGTACTGGTATACGCGCGCGCGTGTGTGTGTGTGTGTGTGTGTGTGTGTGTGTGTGCGTGTGTGTGCATTTGTGTGTATGCGTGTGTATAGTACCTATATTATAATATTACGTGAGTATACGTACACACCACATGCGCGTATATTTACGCGTGTTATTTTGACTGCGATTCGGAAACACGAGAAACCCTCCCGGCGGCAGTGGCGGCGGAACACCCTTTCTGTATGTTCCGTCGTCGAGTTTCTATTATATTATTATTGTTATATATATATGTATATATATAAGGAGCCTGCGAAAAGGAAAAAAAAAAAAAAACTAAAATAACACTCCGTGACACGCCGCCAAGACCCAATAACGTCGTCGTCGTTGTCGTCTCCGGGGTTTATTACCTTCGGAGAGATCCCGCGTCATGTCATATATGCATATATATACGATATTTATATATATATATATAGACGACCCGGAATCGATACAAACGGCACGAGCGGCGGGGTGGGGGAGGGGAGAGGGTGAACCCATCGGAAGAGAGCAGCGATATTATAAAGAGCGGAGAAAAAAAAAAAAAACGAGAAAAAAAAGGAAAACGAAAGGGGAACAACAACAGAGAAAAAAAAAAAAAAATAAACAAACACGTACACACACGAATACGATTTACTGCTCTGCTTTACGCGTGATGTTTATATATTTATCGCCTGTTTTACATAATATTATTATACGTGTACATTCCGAATAATAACGCTCGGGGACGTTACGGCGATAATATTAGTTTTCCGATACGATACGAGAACGCGGCCTCCCCGAGAAAGGGTCGGTGTCCGCGGCGGCAGTGGCGAGTGTATTATGTAAAAAAAACATCGCCGAAAAACCGACCGACTCCTCGCCCTATCGTAACACACACACACACACACACACATGCACACATATATTATATACACTCGCGTATTATACTTACGTTTGTGTTTGCGGTACTTACCCGATCGCGCTGGCCGTGCCGCCCGGCATATCCCGCGCCAAATGAAATGCTGTTTATTTTTATATTTTCATCCTCAAATATCCGCCCGTAATTCAACAAAAAAAAAAAAAAAACAAATAAATAATTCGATTTTCGTACCGAAAATACCGATGTACGATAACTTGTGCGCCGATTCTCCGCCCAACTTGTAAATGGAGTAGCAGCCCGTACGCTATTCCCGGTCCGTTCACACAGCGTCTGTGCAGGGTTTCGGCTTAATACGTTCAGCGGTTCGGGCGAAAAGTGGTAACAACATACGTAGACATCTGTCCGAACAAACTTCGGTTTGTTCCGCAACGGAATCGCATCGCCGAACGATTACTACCGGATATTTGTTTTGATTATTTTGTCAGAACTTCACTCGAACAACAAAGACTATTATTAACCGTAATGCAGTGTATCGATTACATATTACGTGTTTGTTTTTGAATAAAGGATGCGTTTGCTGGTTTCATTTACTATCAATAGTTGGTTGAACGGTACGCGGTATGAGAAATTGCGGGATTTGGCGAGTGGAAAGCAAGGGTAATTTAAAGTCGACGAGAGAGAAGAGTGACGGAGAATCGATTTTTAGAGGCGATGAGGTCGTTAAGAAAGGTTGAGTTACAGGAATGACGGCGGACACGAAGTGAAGCTAGATCAAGTGTATTGAGTATAGTAGTATTTTAGTCGTGAAGAGGACGAGTAATTTTTAGATGATGGCTCGCAAAGTTTAGGCATTTTTTTTTGATCCGCTCGAGTTGACGGCTGTCGTCTATACCATCCGGGTCCTAAACGACCGAGCCGTGTTCGAGTATTGATCTAACTACGGCGCAATACTTGTAACGTTCTCTAATAAATACTCGTGTATATATATAAATTCCCCGATACTTTCGGACATTTGCAGCGGTTCCCACTGGACCAAACAAACTCCAATTAGGGCATTAAAGTTAGGTCAGGTTTTAGATGAATTGAAGTGCTGCGAATCTGGTTGAATTTCAATATAAACCCTGAGCATTGTGTTGTTATTTGTGTAGTGTGTTTTGAAGCTTTGTACTCTCCTATAGACTCGCCGAATGAATTACGAAAGATAAGATTCAGTATCAAATGTGTTCCTTATTTCGACGATTCAGACATAATATCAAATTCGGAAACAACGGTAACGAATTATTACAAATTCCTTACTAAATAATGGCGTTGGTGTGGTAACGAAATTCCAAAGTGCGGGTGCCAGGATGACGGAACTTTATTTCGGTATAGATAAACATCGATTATTGGAAATTAGAGAAAAAACAAAACCAGTAATCTGTTAGGCACATCGTACCGTACCTGTACGTAGTACGTTTAAGAATATTACGCGAGCTAGTGGTTTTTTTTTTTTTTTCTTATAAATTCGTTTCAAAATAAATAACAATAACGTGTAATTATATATATATTATATTGAACATTAACAATGGCGTCGGAATATCGTCGACAAGTATCCGTGATTTACGAGTGTTTCAACGACATTATTCTCATATAACATGTATCTGATCGCGTACTCCGTTTCACATAATATTTGGAGGTTATAGCCGCCCGTCCTCAAAATGTTTCTGACTAATTATTATACGACGAATAATTCAAATTACGGCATTGTCTTATTCCCCCGGGGGCGTTGCGCCGGTTTAATTTTATAAAGAATATTTTAAATAATATCAAATGGCAATCGTCTTCGTGTTTGTTCCGCCGTCCGAGTGTCCGCACAACTCGAACGATATTATTATTATTATCGATTCGCGTCCGTGGAAATATCCAAAACTTGACCGGGTATAGTGACGGCGCGAATGGATATGTTATGAAGTAGTCGCCAATGTGGGGCGAGCGTGCGTGTGGCCGTTTATCGTAAAAAACACAAGACACGTAAACGAATAACGCATAATACAGGAATATCTAGTAGCCTCCCTCGGGTACAACTCCCGAGTCTTCTGCACCTGAGTTGTACGAGGTTTTTCACAATTGCATTCAATCTGTTTCGCGGAAGAAATATTTCACGCCGCCACTGACTATAGGTATGGAAAAAAAAAAAAAAGCGTTCTTTAATCATATTATTATTCAAATTGAACGTTTTTAGATTGTGAGTGTAGCGAAGAAAAACTATTAAAGTTCTATTAAAATTTATTCTTTTAGTTTTATCGGAAAACGCTTTCCCGGTTAGTAAAAATGTTTACTTTGCGGTATTTTCAATCGGCGGTAATTCAACGGAACAATATCTCTAGATTCCCGACAGCTTTTCAAGAAAATTAAAAAAAAAATAAACCCCGATAACAAAATACATCGATAAATATAGGCTTTGTTTTTGCCGATATCGGCAAGGTTATCAATTGGTTATAAGGGGAAAAAACCACTTGTATACGCCTACAGTTTACCGAGATTCGCCGAGAATCGTTTTGAAATTGCCACGGTTGGTCGTCGTTTTCAGCATGTTTTAAATTTAAACTAAATTACCGACCCAATAATCCAATAGGTACCGACAATTCTGTCGGCTTTCGAAATTTTGTAATAATCAATATCAATGAAAAACAACATAAATATATCTTATTAACGCGGTTAGATTATTGAAATCACTGTTGTTTTTTTAGCGACTGTTTATTCGGTTATTTTCTTATCGTTTTTATCGGTTTTCGACGAGAGTCTATCAAGAGTTTGAGCACTCGAATATAATTGTTTGCTCAGGGCGTAAGTGAATATTTTAATAATAAAATTATTGATTTTTTTTTTTTTTTTTAAATAAATTGCCTATCTCACTCTCATACTACGACGTCCGTTTACGAACGTATTATATTATATGAACGATATATAATATACGAGCAACTGTTATATTTTATACGTACGTTTTTTACGCAGTAAATAAACTAAAAACGTATAAAATGTTTTCCCGGATAGGAAAAATGTACGGGCAATTCATAAATTCATTCATATATGGTACCGTAACCCCGAAATGTGGCAAATTTTTCAAATAACCACTCTAAAGTATAACTCTACATTCGGTTTTATTGCATCTCTCGTATTTATTTTGTCCAATCATCTTTTAATATGCACACCGTCGTAAGCGGTACCTCTCTTGGTAGAGGAGGACCAGGAAATATAACTGAAGATCTGATACCAACAACAAGACATCTCCAATTAATACAATTTTTCAGGAGGCACTTAAAACCCTCCGGAAATGTCTTGTCGTTGCACTAAAATAAAAACCAGACATCTCCATTTATATATGAAATCTCTGGTATTTAACAATCGGATTTGTTCGGTAGAAGCACTAAACGACGAATTTTTTATTTTCGTTTTAATAATATGCAATCAAAAACTGATTTTGACAAGTATGGAGATGTCTTGTTGTTGCTCTCGGGTCTTCAAATTTAAACCCACTACTACCGAGTCATCATCGCAATATGGTCCGCACGTGTATAGACTATAGTCACGCAATTACGAACAATTTTTTAAACTGAAACCGGTATATTTGATATCAACTAAGAGTTTAAATTGTACGCCCCCGTACCACTTTCTTCGATAAAGTTCAGTACAATATGGATACACCCCACATAGAAGTTAACCGACACATTATTGTCTTTGTCAATATAGAATCAACTGATATTGCGTTCAAGCAACGATCGTAACAATGCACGCATAAATAAAAAAAAATCATTTCAGATTTCTCACCTTGAACCCGGTCTGAACTCTTTTGATATTTCCGAATTGAATTTTGGACCGTAATCTAACCGTGAAAATAATACGGATCAGGATTTTCGAAACAATCGTTGTGCTTCGTGAAAAGACGATCCTGGAAAAAATTTTAAAGCTGGTCGAAAAGGGCGTCCACTGACTCTAACTCGTTGTTTAAATTCCATTCACTTCAACGGTACAACATCATAATGGGATAAACGTGGGATATACGTCTGAGTTGTGGTTGTCTTTGTCTAATCGTAATAGAAATAATTTGGTAAATTTCAGTTAAATACTACTAAGCCAATCGGAGGTGGATTGGGACCGAAAAAAAAAAAATTCCCGGGGATTTAGGTTTCGGAGTGACCGCATCACAAAAAAACTCATGAATGAAACACACAAATATTGGGTATGGAAGTGAAAAAAACATATTTTCTAAAATTTTACGAAAATAATGTCGCTAACACCACGCCGTTGAAAACGTCGAATCGTTTGAAAGAAAATAGTATTTTTCGAATTACATCAAAAGTTGTGCTTACAAATTTTCACTAAGTATGGCGAAAGTATTAGTTATTTCATGATTGTTGAGCTGGGCACGTAGGTGCTCGCGTCTTTTTCGCCAGACACGTGCGTAAAAAAGCTCCTATAATTTATTTCGACCTAATGAATTGCTCAAACAATGTAAAATATATATTTTTTAAGCGGCAAAACTTTTGTTTTTTTTTTTTTTTTTTTTTTTGAAGTGGTTAAATGTTGTATTATCATGGTATGGGAAAATACGATTGTGTAGACGGAACTCTGGTGCTCACTGTCGTTTTTTTTTTTTATCTCTTAATAGATACGACAGAAATTAACGGAAAAAAAAAAAAAAACGATCAATAACGTTATAGGTGTTATCTATTGCATATTATCTTATACATAATACAACGTCGCCCGCCTATATTTTATGAACTTATCGCGAGTCGCGTTCAAACGGGTTTTTTTCTTCCGCCGTATTGTAAAACTTTTATTCAACCGCCGACGCGTAGATTTTAAAATAATTCCCGCCGCTAAAGACGTGCACTTGCAGCGTTTATGCGCACGGCGATACTCTCGTCTGTTATTAAACGTTTTATTGTTGCGTTTTTTTTTTCTATAACTATTCAATCGTAAGTGACTCGATTCGGTATTTTTTATCCAATACATAAAAAAAACTTTCGACAGCAACAAGTTTACGTTATTACACTGGCGTATGGTGTTGTACTCCGACCGCGTAAATTATAGTTTTACCTATCGGAATTTGAACAGACGTTTTTCCCGATTATTATTAAACCGACACGAGCCGGTGATAACATGTTAATTAAAATTGATTTTATGTTATATTATGCGCGCACGTAAAACCCACAAAACAGTCCCGAGAAAAATATTTTCAAAAGCAATTGGCAGAGGGGTTTTAAATGTCCCCACTCTAACGGCTCTAACTTGCGTAAAATACAATTTCCCCGACACTATATTTTTATACGCGGTTTTTTTTTTTTTTAATAAAACTGTACGTATTATTATATAAACTATAATTACTCTGCGTAAATCATTTTTTGTACAGTGTTCGAAAATTGTATTTTATAATTAATTATACGGCCCTTTGAGACTTTATTTAAAACGCCTACGCCATTTTGGCCGCTCTAAATGTTTTATTAAGTGCTTTTGATGATTTTTCGACGTTTTTAAACAAAGTTTTTTTTTTGTGTAGATTTTTAACCCCGAATAAATCCGTTTCCTAAACGCATTATTATTTCGCTGTCGGTAAACCGATTGAATCATTCGACGGCGGACGATTGTATGAATCGTGGGGAGGGGAGGGGAAAATGGAAAATAGTTTCGATGAGCGACGGAATGTTCTTGTATATTATTATAATATTGTAAAACGTACGCCGGTCGCTTTTAAACGCCGAAATTCCTTTTTATTTCAGTTGTGCCCGCGTCTTTATAAATATTTTTTGTTTTTTTTTTTCTTCTACCAATCCGTTTGTTATAACATAAGAGCCGATATTTTGTAAACGTGTCGTATATTATATCGTATATAGTCCCGCTTAATATATGGCTTTTTCGTTTATTTTTTTTTTTTTTTTTTTTTTTTTTTTTTAGCATTTTTTGCTCTCCGAAACGGACCGAAAGCAACGCACGATTATAAATAATCTCCGTTTCGGAAACGGGCGCGAAAAAAAAAACCGAAAGGGACCGTGAAATCGTCTAGCGTCCTCCGTCTTTATACAATATCATTAGGTACTTTTTTTTTTTTTTTCCGCCGCCGTAAGTATTATAATATTATTATTTAATATTGTACACGCCCGCCGCGCGTGCGCCCGGCGCACAATGCTCTCGCAATAAAACCTCTAAAAGGGGTTTCGAAAAGGGTTGTAAACACTCCATTGATAAGTCGTAAATTACGGTCAAAAGACGACGGGGGCGGTTTATCGGGAACGGCCGAGAGAGAGAGGGAAAAAAAGCGAATATTTCCCGGTTCGACGCACTCCGTAAACGTTTTTATACATACACATTTATAATATCATAATACGTATACGACCGGCTGACCGCGCGCGCCTTTTATTCGAATTTTCGTTTGTTTTTTTTTTTTTGCTCTCCTCTTTTTCCCGCTCGTCCCTTTCCGTCGTTTTGTTTGTTTGTTTTTTTTTTTTTTTTTTTTTTTCCGCCTTCCCGTGTACACGGTCAATTGTGCGGCGCGCGCCGGGCACGGTGGATTCGAAACGCTACGGATTTTTTTTCCCGTCGTCGTCGTCGTCGTCGTCGTCGTCTTAAATACACGTACGTTTAACCGCCCCCGCCCGCGTACACCCATATACGCACTCACTCACCTCGTAGGTACCCATCGGCAGATAATAACGCGTGTAAACGCGTGGACGTTTCTCAAAGGACTCCGTGGCGCAGTAAAAACGTCTGTATACCGTCGGTTTCGTTCGCATTGTATTATTATAATAATATGTCCGGGGCTCCCTGTGTATACACACACACACGCACGCTCGGGACAACAAACGCGCTGCGGTCTTCCTATTTGCGCGCGTACCGGAGTCTTCCTGGTTCTCACACACCCGCCGCGAGCTTATAACACTGTAACGCCGTCGCCATAACGCGCACACGCTGCTCGTAGTTTATTTATTTTTTTTTTTTTTTTTTTTTTTTTCGTACGCCGTAACGCCGTGACGGAGAGACGCTACGCGTTTAATTTTTCGAAACGTCCGCGTAAGAAAAATATACACACGCGTAAACACAGTGGACCGGCCCGCGCATTATTTACTGCGCGATATTCCTGACGGTTAGTGGGCCGTTTGTTCCGATTTTCCGTCGGCGCACGTTTTTGTCATCGGCGTCAAACCGATAGTGGCGGTCGCCGTCCCCCCTCCACCCGTGGCCTGTGTTACATTAGATATTCGATTATTCGCCCAGAGTTCTCCCGTGCTCGCGCGCGTCATTAAAACGTATTTTTTTTTCCCCCTGTTTACCCGATAGCGCCGACGGACCCGTTTGTACAACACTTCCGCGCTATTGTGTACGGACGTTAGTTACGAGCGAAACGCACACATTGAGGGGGTGCGCAGGCGAGTCTCCCGCTTCGTCCCCATACGCGAAAACTCGGCTCGAGACCGCACTGCCCGCGGTCCACGGCCGTCCCGGTCCAGTTCGCGGAACCCGTCGGTCCGGCTTTAGAGTTACGTATTTACGGGAGGAAGCCGAATGGCGCCGTCGTCCGCCTCCCTTGTCCGCTCGCATCATTAAGACTCACGCCGAACGGCCGAAATCCCGTCCGCCTTTCGTGTTTTTCGGACTGTAAAACTATCGTGCTCGCCGTACGACGAATTTATGAGGATTCGCGGTGAAACGCTGTCCCGGACAATACGGTGACCGTAGGCTGTGAACGGATAAACGCCCGCATTTACGAGTTTACTGTGACGGACACTGGTATGCGCGCGCGAAATTTCTCACAAATGTGCGTTCATAGTGGCAAACAAGCGAAATAAAAAACCGTTAATTTTACGTTGTCGGCGGAGCGATGAACGTATCGGTTTTACAGTGCCGCGTGCTTTTTTATTTTATTCTGCGACGACGAGCAACTTTTCTCTAAGACGTTTCGCTTCAATCGAAAATGGTGTTCATATTAATCGGGGGGAAAAAACGTCGCGCTCCGATTTCGATAGCGCACATGCCGTTAAATACACCGAAGCTCGCGTGTTGATCCGGGCCCGATAAAATATATCGTTAGTTTCGGACGTCTCGGTGTCGCCGGTTCGGCCGTCACGTCTATTAGCGTCAGTATTAGTTGTCGCACTGGTGTTTACATTTGAATTGACGCGCGGCGAGCGGCAGACGAGTCCGGAGGCGTTTAAGTGCGTAAATGAGCCTCGGGCCGCCGTTGTCGTATTTATCGTTCCGTGTCCGGGTTTACTAAAAACGCATTTGTACGTGCGCGTTAACCGTCCGTCGACCCGAAACCGGTGTCGCGGTTGGTCAACCCGGCCGACGGCGGCACGCTAATACGCGATACTGCGAATCGCGAATAACGATAACACCGCTCTTATCAAAACCTCGTACCACCCGAACTGTCTCGGATGAGAACACGTGACACAATCGTGATAAACGAAATGCATGACGACGTGCTTCACAACGAAACAGGTATACACGCGAACGGCTATTCGTATTCCACAAAACTAAAATCGGGACTCGTGTTAAGCGAGACCGAGCCACCGAGTGCGAGGGTGTCCTCGTTCGCGGGCTGTATACGACGCGCGCGCTGCTCTCGTTTTGACGAGTTCAAAAACTACCGCATTGTCTAAAACGAGATATTAGAACGCGGCATTATAATATTTGTATCCTTTGAGTCACGGACTTCTAATAAGGTTAAGGTGTGGTAAAAAGTCATTTAGTTTCTTGTGGCACTTATCTCCGAGAGAAGAAAACAAACGAACCCTAGACGAGTGATTAGCCGCAATAATTGAGCGCCACACGGTGTGCGTAGTGTACGAATCCTCTCTACCGCCTCGGGGTTTGTTAAGTACCGATCCTGCATCGCGTTATAGGTACTATATTTTGTCGCGGTAAAAAAAAAAAAAAAAAAACGTTCATTGGACGCGTTTCATAACTGTTATTTTCATAGCCTGTACAAGAAAAACGCCGGCTGAACGGACGATCAAACGCCGAAAAGAGGGTGTCGATTTTTGGAATTTCCCTGGAATACAGCGCTCGAAATCACTATCAGACTATATAAGCAATTATTTCCCGCGCAGTTAAACAGTTCTTTACTCTAATAATAATAATAATAATAAAAAAATAATAATATAATAATAACAACAATAATAGATCTTGAATCGCCGCAGAACAACGCGCGGCATTACTATTGCGCTCGTAGAAAGCACGACGGTGTAAACGTTTTCGATTATTATTTGTTTTTTTTTTTTTTTTTTTTTTTTGTTTTATAACACACAATCCGTACGATTTCCGCGTTGTACGGGCGCGCGAAGTTTTTCTCTTTGAACGCCGAGCGCGTGACGAACACGCGATATCGTCGTAGTTTTATGGTAATAATAATGTCGTGTGTTTCGCAAAGCGATCCTATCGGACCGACTGACCGTAACTCGTACGCATATTCATAGCTGTTTTGCCGATTCGGCTATTTCGCTGAGCGTTACGCGGGTGGTAGTTTTGCATTTTGAACATTTTTAAACGCCTACTCGCGCGTACGTGTTCTCGGTACACAGAATGTACGAAACAATAATTTCGGCGCAAAAGACGTGTCGTTTTCGAACCTTTCGGCGCTCGTGGCGCCCGCGTGAATCGCATGCCGCGCCGACAACAGACGATCGACCGCCGGGTACCGTTTTCGGTACGATTTCCCCCCTCCCCCCACGCACCCCCACCCCACCCCGCCCGTATCGATTAACGGCGTGCGCGCGGTTATCGTTACAGTTTGAACGTTGTTGTCCGAGAAAAAAAAAAAAACCGCTACTGATCACCGTAAACCCGTGCGTCGAGACGAAAATTTAACTGTCGTATTTTCGGGAAACGCGTTTGGATTTCTGTCGATAACGTGCGATTACATTACCGCGTCGTGTTTTCAAACGACCCGTTCGCGCCGGGAAGCGGCAGCCGTTCCCACGGTCGTTTAATTAGTAAAACACGACCGTTCGGTTCTGTTCCGCGGTCGAGCGAAGGGGGTGGGGGAAGAATTAAGGGGTGGGGGGAAGGGCGGACGGGCGGAGGGCGACCGGAGGATCCGCACCAGCGTATTGTAACGGTCGATTCTTATCGATTCCGGTAAACACGATTTCCACGGACCGGCAATTAAAAAAAAAAATAAATAAACGGACAATAACGACAATGATAAAAAGTCACAGTCTCACGACCGAAACTCGTTTAACGGGGGAACAACGTGTGACAGAAAACGTTTTGTGCGCCTGAATAATATGCGCGCGTGCGGACGCAGGTCACGTGTTTTCGTCGCCCCAAACACGACATTTTCGCCGGCGTCGGAAAACGGGGTATTCGTCGTCGGCGGTATTTCGGAAACGATTGCACGCGCCGTTCGTGCGCGTTTAGTTTTCGATTTTTTGTTTTTTTTTTTTTTTTGAAAAACCGTAACATTGCGCGCGTGCAGGGTCCGAGACGCGTCGCGCGGTCGGGATCATTTTCGAAGGGGGAGGGAGAGGGGTTAATCTCCCCTCCCCCACCCCTGTATCCGTGCCCGGTACTCGGTAAATGCTATCTACGTTTAAATGAAAACTAGTTACGAAGACGTGGCGATAACACGTTTTGATTAAATCCGTAGTCAGTATGCCGTTGTCGGCTAGTTTGTCATTGAGGCGATTCTGTTCGGATGATCCCGACGACGACGACGACGACGACGCGACCGGCGAGTGACGGATCGTATTGCGTATACCTATCGGATACGCAGTTACGGCGTGCCCAACGGTAACGACCTCTATAAACGGGCGTGCGCGGGTGCTCGGGGATCGGCGATTTTTTTTTTTATTCGTTTTTTCTTTTTTCCCCCCGTCAATTTCAATTTCCCCCCCCCCTGTCGATTTCGCAGCGCCGCGAAAACTGCGCCGATCCGTCGTCCGAGTCGCCGCGTTTCTCCCGTGCCCCCTCTCCCCCGACGCCCCTCCGCCGTGCCGCCGCGTCCACGCAGCCACGTCGTCGCCGTAACGTCGTTTGCCGCGCTACTGGGCGCACCGTGTTTCGGGTACGCTCAATACGCAATATTCGTTGCGGAAATCCGATCGGATTAAAACCGCGCCGGCCGCGGATTGCCGTTCGACAAAAACGCGGTTCGGCCAAAGTACCGGATCCAATCCGGAATCGCGCGGTCGCCTCCGAATCGACTCCACAAACGAACGGACGCCGCGCACGGTTCGGTCACACTCGGGCGGCCCGAGGTTTTTTTCGTTTTTTTTTTTTTGTTCTTCTATGGTTTTTCTAGTTTTATTGTTGTTTCCCTCGGATTGTCTCTCGTCTCGCATTATTATTATTATTATTATCGTTATACAAGTAGCGGTATTTTGTACGGGTCCCGGGTAGCGTACGGCAGGCACCCGTGTAAAATATATAGCGGCGATAACACAATAATTATAAAGCGTATCGGACGAACGTGGCGCGGTCCCGAACACGAGCATTTATCGCCCGACTCGACCGCATCGCTCGGTATAATGGGTGTACCCGTTGCATCCGACTGTTGCAGTAATAATAACACTGTAACGGCTATAAAGTCACGAACGACAACATCGATTTCAATAATAACAGTAATAATGAGAATATCGTTTGTTGGTTGTGCGGTGAAAATCCGATCCAAATCCGAATTATCATATTGTGTCGATTGTATCGCCGAAAAAAAAAAAACAAAAAAATCCTCGCGCGGAGACGACTGACGACGAATTATACGCGAAAATACGACAGCGCGTTACCTATACCGGTCATGTTCGGGTTTCGATAGAAAATAATTCGCTCGGGGGGGAGGGGAAATTCACGCGACGGACTACGACGATTACGGAAAACCCGTTGCGGGCGCACAAGGATGAACGGAAGAAATACGAAAATGTACTGTACGTCGAAATCGTCAGGTTTCGAGAGTCACCCTACCACAAACGCGTTGCGTAAATAAAACAATTAAAATTTGTCAAGTTTATCGAATTTCCGCAGTTTCTAAAATTGTTTCAACGGATTTTTATTTCGTAAAAACGTAATATTTTTTTGTCATGCGTGTTCTCCGAACGCCCAGGCACCCACGGCCCATCCACCCGTTTTTCTGCGGATCGCGCGATTCAAAATGTACTCCTTTCGAGCCGCCGCTGTCGTGATATATGTGTAAACCGACGGGAATAAATCGCACGGTATCTTTTTAATGTCCCGATTCTTCCACGCCCGGGGATTTTGTTCGATTGTTATTTAAGGGCGGTCTCAATCACGGGCAGACGGCGGCAAACCGTAGAATCTCTAATCGCGGTCCGGGAACAGCAACACCGATACGACCCGTCCACGTCGAGATATAATGTGTTCTGTAGATAGATAAAATAGATTATCGATAATATCCATATCGGCTATAGATACACATTAGCCGTCCGACCCACGTCGAAATCAATAACGTACCAATGTCATCGTATTACGGCGTTTAATCGACTTTTGACATTTTGTTTCGTCCGTTTCACCCGGGTAACGCACAATTCATCGAAAATGATTATTCGCCGAAAATACCGGTGGCCCCGTGTCGGCCCCTTGTCGAAGTCTGATCCGGAGGACGAACGTGGCCCGCAGCATAATATGTTATCCCTGGTCCAGAACGTCCGTGCAAAGTTTCAGCTCAATCCGTCCGACATGTTTGCAAGGCGTCCGTCCGTCCGTCCAACCCACAAACCTTCGTGTTCATAATATTAACAAATCGATAAATAATTGTACACGTTCGTCGAATATTATTCGCCCCTACGTTCGGAGCGTTTGAATGAAATATAACGGTTTTTTTTTTTTTTTTTTACAATATCTATTACACCTTCTCAGACGGTTCGTCCGGCGCAATTTCGCGTTTATTGTCCGTCGTTAAAACGTAACATTATACTTTGTCAAATTATTTTTCGTCTAATACGAGGAGTCGCGTGGAAAACGCAAACACAATAAATGGTGTATACCGTACATTATCGGGTATTAAAAAATCCATACTGCAAACGAAGACGCGTTACAGTATTGCAGATATTGCGAAACGGAATTTGCGTGTGTTTTTTTTACTTTTTTATTATTTTCTTTGTGATTTTCCGTCAGCGTGTACTGCAGTGAGTTTTTTTTTTTTTTTATTATATGCGCCGTAAAATAGGTAATAGTATTTCCATATTTTGTCGCAGACAGCTTAATACCTACGCAATAATGTAACATTTTTTGATTATATTTATTTCTTTGAACTATACGCGCGAGAAATACAAAAAATACTAATAATAAAACCGTTTCAAGTCGCTCGACTGGGTAAATGTTAAATTTTACATGTATTATTATTATTATTGACTCCGCGTACTATATTCCAATAAAAAAAAAAAAAAAAAAAAAAATCGACTTAATAACTATTTTTTTCGCCGTCCTTTTCGCATTGTGTTAATGTGCAAGTGAATTATTTATCGTCTGCAGGTTACCTCGCGCAGTATATTATTATTATTATTTGTTGCACGCGCAGCGCACACTGCGCTCGATTTTCTCGAAACTTGCTCGACAACGCGCCGAACGATTGTAATTTATGTGAGCTTTATTTCTCCCAAGCATAATATTTTAGTATTCGAGTGGAGAGAACGTGGTGTTACTGCGATGAGTTTTGGATTCTGAGCGGAGCGAGAAACGTATTGGTTTTACGAATGACGTCTTTTTTTTTTTTTTTTTTTTTTTTTTTTTTTTGTTCTTTAACCACGAACAACCGTTCTACCGGCGGCGATTTTGCTCCGATTTTCGATCATAGCATTTTTTTTTCCGAAACGAAGTCCGACTGGGTTGGTACTTTAAGTAGGTCTTCTCCGTTTTTATTTCTCCGGGAGTTTTCGTAACGAATGGGGAAACCCGGGAAAGACCGCGGGAACAACGGGAAAATATGTACAATGGTAAACAAATATTTTTAAAGGGAATGACGTTAAAACGCATGTTACATGTAGTTATTTTACCGTAATATGACATATATATTGTTGAAAAAGCAACGCTATTTTAACCGAATTCCGTTCAGAATCGTTTTTCGTTAGCGATGGTTAATCGTTGCAGCGTACAGATATACACTAAATTTCCCCTCCTAAATCTTCCCAACGTCTCGCCAACAACAGTGGCTCACCCACCGTGTGAGTCGTGTATGTCCGTATCTTTGGTTTTCTTTGTTTATCGACGATTTTTTTCGCCCAGAATCCACCGATTCGTTCTCGGGAGCTGGTTTCTCAAGCGGCGATAATCTTTTTCGTGACCGCGATTCGACGAGTAACGGGACCGGAGATTTTCACCGGACATGAGCGTATTCCGGACGGACAGATTATGCGAAAATTTAAAAATTTCACGACGATATTACCAACGTTTATGCGACTACGGCCTAACCGCTGCGTCGTGAATAATCGGGAGGCGTAGCGATCGGGCTGTTGCGCGCGAATTTCGAATATTCGATAATCGAATGTAACTGCGCAGGACGACAGGTACGATTTCCGACCGTTATCCCCCGACGCACTAGGATTACGAAAAAACAATAACATAATGCCGCCGTCGTGTCCGCGGAATTTCCAGGGCACTCTCCGGAGCACGTATACAGCGTTCGAACGTCGCGGTGATTTTCCGCCTCGTTATACCGCCGAAAAAAACCCTATGCGATGAGAGAGAGGATATCAAAAAAAAAAAAAAACCAGATTTTTTTTTCCACCGTTTCTTTAACAGGTGACCCGTCCACCCCGTGTATTATACTTTCGGGTATACGCGCGCGGAGAGAAAATATTTAATTATTTTACCGGAATAATAGCCGGGCGGGACCGTGAGCGGGTGGATGTGGGGGGGGGGTGGTGTATAGGAATACGCAATAATAATAATAATAATAATAATACTCGTGTATATAACTACACACACACACACACACACACACACACACACATACACGCGACTGTTGTAGAGTAGTACACACATGACCCTAAGTTCCCACGGACATCGCGGCGGTGGTGTTTCCACCCCGCACCCTCCACCGATCCCCTCACCATCGTCCGTTACGTATTGTGCGCGTTTTTCCACAGCACGGACCGTCTGGCCATCGCCGCGCGCCGCGGCCTCTCCGCGGCGACGTACCTGTCCGCCCGTCTCGCCCCCGTCCGCGCGGCGCACCAGTCGCCGCTCGCTCCGTCTCCCGCGATCCGAACAGGTGGTTCCTTCGGTCCTGCGATCGCAGACGCACCGCGACCGTCGAACGCGCGCTCGCGGTGCGTGTGTGTGTGTGCGCGCGCGCGCGCGGCGAGGGGAAGGGGCGGGGTAGAGGGGTGGAAGAACAAGAGACGCGGTCGCGGGTCTTTCTTTTCTTTACTTTTTTTTTTTTTTTTTCAACTTTTTTCTCCCGGAGTTTTTTTTTCGCCCTTTTTTTTTTATATACTATTATTATTATTATTCTCATTTCATCCGTCGCCGTCGCGCGCGCGCGGGGGAGAGAGATTGCGCAAAAATACACATTATGCCCCAGACAAGTGTGTGTTGCACACAGTGCGTGTACGGTGTCGGCGCATATGTATAGTGTACATTGCGCGTATGTATACACAATATTCTATATACCGTACAGAATATAATAATAATATGTCGACGTCGTACTCGGACAAAACAGACGCCCTCCCCTCCACTCCCCGACCCGCGTACAGTGTGTGTGTGTGTGTGTGTGTGTGCGCGCGCGTGTAATAAGACCTGTGAGAACGGTCTTACACGCGCGTTATGTATATTCACGAGAACACTGCTCAGTGTTCTCTCTCTCTCTTCGATAACTGGGCTGCTTTTTTTTCCTTTTTTTCTTTCTTTTTTTTTTTTTCCCCATTATTTTATCGCACCGCTAAAATACCAGTAGTGCGTTTTTTGTGTTATGGGGAAATAATCTCGACCGCGTGGGACGGCACGACGCGCGATTAACACCGTGCGGGTGAAAACCGTCCGAAATCCGAACGTTTTTTTTTTTTTTTTCATTCGATGAAATATTAACATAAATTATTATTATATCTCGGCAATTGAGCATATGCGAAACAGAACAGAACGCTGAATTGAGACGGTATGACGCAAATTTTCAAGCGCTGCTGCTTATATGTTGAGAATCGACCTCGCGCATATAATTCGGTACTGAACATACTAGATTTTTAGATAGTTGTTCCTATGGAAGCTCATCGAGGGAGCAGTCGACTGTCCTTAGACCAGCTTGTTTTGGAACGCCCTAATTTCCGCGGTCCCGATCACCTTTCCCTTTCTCCGTCGAGCACTGCCCGCAAACCCGTCATTTCTATATAATTTTAACGGTAACGTCTATTATTAGCAATAGGTGTACATTTTTCACACTAGGTAAATTGACATGATAACGAACCGTACAAATTCGTTATTTGCTAGCCTAACCATCGGTAACAAATATTGCGCTCATTATCGGTATTTTTAAAAGGTTGAACATGAGACAAATATGCGTGGCGCTCAAAGACAACGATTGAATGTACTCAGGATAAATGAATCGTACGCTTCAAATAAACGGCGCACACCACAAAAAACATAAAACAATTTTTCGACGATATTAGTTCAATTAATTAATTAATAAATAAGTTTTTTTTTTTTACACGTGACGTCAAGCCAATGTGTTTTTCGCGTATATTTAATTTTGTAAATTGTCTGCACTCGGGTCGCGGCCAGTAGCGTGCAGCCCGGGCATTTTCAATGGGACGGGATGTATAGCAAATAAGTATCGTGAATAAACCGTAAAATTGTCTTCTCTATCCAACTCGGCCGTGGAATTGGTAATTTAAAAGCCGGATCCTAAAGAAAATCCATTTTCTAATCGACGAGATTTTTCGCGTATCTTTGCTGAAATACGAGTATATGCATTTCGATAACAGATTACTCCTCATATTTTGTTTGTATTTTAAAGCCAATGGGAAGTGGGAATATAACTCTTAATCTCCCGCCCTCTGCGCACGCCACTGGCCGCTGTCCGTTTCGAATAAAATAAAAACACATTAGAATCGTCGCCGGTGAGGGGCCGAAGAAAAAAACCAACTTCCGTCCGTCGCGACGGTTAATCGCCGAAAAAATCGTCGATCTATTATTATTATTTTTTTGTTTTTTTTTTTGTTGCAATCTTCGATTTCGTGTCGTGCTCGTGGCGTCGTCGTTGAGACTGTTCGCGATATTGCAGCGGTTGGCAATATTTTTATATTGCGCCGTTGTGCGATTTTCGAAAAAAAAAATAATAATAATAATAATAAAACAAAATATATGGATATAGCGCGCGTTTAATTTATTTTTCATTCACTATTTTATACGCGCACGGTCGTCGGGGTCAAGAAATGCCAATACAATAATTGATATGAAAAAAAAAAAAAAAAAAAAAATTTGCACACGCGAGTATTATAACGTTCAGGTAACCGACTTCACGCGCGCTACCATTCATAACGCTACATAGTAATCGGATTGATTGACGAGTGAACCTAACAATAATGATGATGATAATAATGCACGAACGTTATTATAATAGGTACCGGGTACTGTTCAATATTGAAATCGAACCGCGATGTTATTAACGCGCGCGCCTCTGATTTGTTAGTGAAATTTATGCGTTATAAATTATAATGATATTTAGAAAATTTCAATAACAATTAACTTTTACGGCGAATAATTTTTGACTTTTAAACTCGAAATAATTATAACTTTTCCGGGTCGTAATAATAATATAGGTAATAAGCACCTTTATAAGAACGATTATCTGAACGCTATTTGTGTACGAGTATAGATTTATATAATTATAGCGGGTATTGGGAGAACGATTGAGAGAAAAAAAAAAAAAAAAAAAAAAAAACGAATAGAATTTTTTTTATTATTATTGTTATTTACTTATTATTATTATTATTATTTTTTTTTTTTTTTGTCGATTAGTTTTTACAAAATCATAAATAACTTCCATATCTTAAAATAGCCGTATAATACGCGACGCAATTACTGTTTTATAATAACTATAATATCGGAATATTATTGGCATTTATAACATGCGCACGCCGTACACGTTGTACACGCAATTTCCATAAAAATTTTACGCGTACAAAATTTATATTAAAAAAAAAAAAAAAAAAAACCCATTAAAATATTACCGTCGTTACCCGTACGATTCGGTTAGTGCCTTTATAATATGTAAGCACCTATACATACAGGATGATCGATCTGTCGTGAGACACTCATTATCTCAGAAAGCATAGTTTGCTCTTTCCGGAATTTGTTTTGCAGGACATTTAAGAAACAAGCGGCTCCGCAATTTCACGTTTGTGTTACATTTTGTCGCTCTCATATTCGGGGTTGAAACTAATTACCAACTTTTGATTTGTTGACACGGACAACCACGTTAAAATATAGAATGTTGTATCTAAAATTTTCCAAACAACAAATTCCGAAAAAAATCGATACTGTCCGAGATTATGCGTGTCTTACGGTAGATCGATCACCCTGTATAATAATTATATGTTCGACGCGCAACTATTTAAAATGTACGTAACGGAATGAATGTTAGAGTGCATGGAAAAAAACGAGTTTGGTGAAATATAGCAACCGTATAATTTTTTTTTAAAATGTTTTATTATTATTGTAGTACATAGGTTTCAATAAAAAATAATCGATATAAAATTGAACAATTTATCGTTATAACATCGTTAAAAAAAAAAAAAAAAAACTTCCGTCGCTATATCGCACGGAGTCGGGTTTCCTTGTACAGTCGTCCCGTTGGCGTTACGCAGTCCGGTCGGCGGCGTTTTAAACCCGCGGTGTTTCCTGCGAAAACGCGGAATTCGACCGTGAAACCGGTACGGGGCCGAGGGGCTGAAAGTCGAAACCCCCGGCGTGCCGCGCGTCCTCGGCACTAACAAGCCGTGCGCACGCGCACGTGTGAAATCGCGTCCGTCGGTTCGGGGGTTCCGAGCTGAACGAAAATGCCCCCGTGCCGTAACGATCCTGTTGAAATCCAACACTCCGAACCGCTCGGGTCTGCCAATAAAACAACGCGGATTCCCGAGTTCGGGCTCGCGTTCGGTCCGGCGGGGACTGCGCGCCGGAAAGCGGGAGAAAGACGCGGGGAGAACGGAGATTTAAAAAAAAAAAAATAATAATAATAACAACAATATTTCAGCGTATTTCCTCCGGGTTATTTTTCCGTAACGGACGTTGTGAACGCGACGTAACGTCGCGGACCGTGGCGAAATGATAGACGGGCGTGATAACGGCGAGTCACGCGTCGTCGTTCGGCGTGCGCCGCGCAACTCCTCCGGTCTCGGTTTTCGCCGCTTCTGGTTCGTTCGACGATTCGCGCGGCGTCCCGGCGACGGCGAAAACGCAAATGTTTTCGGCCGCCGAGAAGCGGAAAACGGCGGACGGGCCGAAAGCGATGGGAAATTCGACCGGGGTGCGTGCGCACGGCGTTATCGATAAACTGCGATCGCGCGCATACGGCGAGCAACCGATTGAGCCGCGACGGGGATAAAAAAAAAAAAAAAAAAAAAAATTTCGGGTGCCGACATTTTTCCGGTCACTTTTGCGTTCGTTTTTTCCCGATAATTCGAAGAACGGACCGACTGATTGTATTCGTGTATTTGTAATTCATGTCGATTGTAACGGCCGCGGCGGCGGCGGCGGCGGCGATAACGGACAATACAACGCGGTGTTACAAATATCGTTTACGGGCGTGATGCAACGGCGCGGTACGCTCTTGAAAATGCGATTTTCCCGCGACACAAGAATACGACGCGAATCGATTTGTACGGCCGTGCGCGTATCGATAGCACCTCGGTACGTTATTCGACCGCACCGTTTGTCGTCCGTCGATAGGATATTATTACTATCGGCCGCGGTGTGGACCGCGTTTGCGCGCGTAGTGAAATCCGGAGCGTAATTTCCAAATCCGGTAAAAACATCATGAAAATTAACCATAAACCATTTGCTAATAACGTTCTTAAATTGTTCTTAAATTTTAATTTTCGATAGTTCGTTTTGGCGTTCGTAATATCTGGACAATTTTTTTTTACCGGACGTATTATTTCATGCATTCGCGCGAAAGATTGCGAGCAACGGATTTGGAAAAACAAAAATAGGCGAGAAGCTGAGAAAGTAAAGGGAAAATTCAATGTATATATGTACGCGACGATTAACCATTGCTAACGAAAAACGATTCTGAACGGAGTTCGGTTAATGCTTTGTCAACAATATTCATGTCATATTATGGTAAAACAATTACATAATACGCGTTGCATAATTTCTTTAATAATAACATTTGTTTGATATTGTACCTATTTTCCCGTTTTTCTCACGTGTTTGTTTTTTCCCGGTTTTTACTCATCCATCCGGAAAACTCCTGGGAAAATCAAAGAATAGCCTTCTTAAAGTATCACCCCAGGAAAATCTTTTTTTAACCCTAAGACCCAGGTCGAAAATTAATGAGAATTTCAAAAAATGACGTCTTAAAGCGCCACCCAGGGGACATTTGCTTTCATAAAAGGTGCTATACTTGATAGGAGCGAGATTTCGGATAGAATTTTATTACACAGTAAAAAAAAACATCTTCGTAAATCCAATAGATTCTTCGCTACACTCGGAATCTAAAAAGAAAAGGTTATGGTGACAACGACTGCATAGTATTACGAAGTTTTATAAATAAAATGTTATCGTCGAACGGCCGTTGAGCGAAATATTATTAAATTTGCATTCAAAGCGTCAAATAATAAGCAGTCGTACCGATTTAACTATAGATAAAACGCGCCGGCCATTTCTTTAAAGGAATTTAAAAAAAAGTGTATATAGTTTTGATGGGAGAAAAACTTACAAAAAAAATAAACTTTGTACTTCCATAGCTTTTTAAGTTTAATTTGTTTTTACTTTACTCCCGAGCATAAAAATGAATAAATTATACGTGAATGCCAATAGAATTAAAAATAGTTTATTAGGTACTTATATTATGTTTTTTGTTTTTTTATTCGTTATGTGTATTATATTTGTTTTTCTTAAAACATAACAACTTTAAACTTCACCTGTGAGATTGGAAATTTCCGTAGAATATGATATTTGTACAGATCATATTTTATTATATTGATTCTCCTCTAGTCCAAAGAGTGTATTATTTTGATTGTTTTTTTTTTTTTTAATTATAGTTTGGTTTTTTTTACTATACGCAAATTTTATTATAGTTTATATAAATAGACGTACAGATACGTTTTATTCGGAATTGAAAACCCGTACAGTTATTGTACCGCGGATTCAAATAGTATTTGCCGTTATCGCGTATTTATCACACCCCGAACAAATACGTGACATTTTCCCGGACGCGGTTTTTTTTTTTTTTCGGATTCGCCACCTTTCGGAAACTTTTACGGAACGGTATTAATTTATTGTAATACCGTACGTGTTATACGCTCGTTACAGACGTCTGGTGAACGAGAAATAATGCATACTATCTACGACGCGATAGTACCCCGGAGTACCACAGCCTCCGGCCGCAAGTTACGAATTCTCGGTCTTAACGATATCACCTGTCGCTGCACACGTCTTTAACGCGTTCCCGTTAAAATCTAAAATATTACACACGTAAACGTATTGGATTTCGCGACCATTTTTCTGAAACGCGCTCGCTGTCGGTCTCGTCTAGCCCCGTTCTATGTAGTATACCTAGTCCGTACCGTTCGTTTAACGGCTGAACGCCGCGGTTCGGTATACAGTTTTAACGTTCATACGGGTGACTACTTAATATTTTTGAGTGACCGAAAAAAAAGAAAAATGTAAAAACATAAGCGAAGTTGGAATTTCGACGAAGTATGATGAGCGGAGAACAAATATACATTTTCGTCGTTGTTAGGCGAATTTCGCAAGCGTAAAACGGAATAGCCCGAATACACGAGTATAATTACGTGCAAGGACGGCCAAACTATTTCAACGGAAATTCAAAGTACAAATGTCTACGAAATTCGTAAAAAATCACGAAAAGTTGAACTGCATTCTTTTGGTTGAGCGTATCCGATTCGAATTTTAATTGAACACAATAATCAATGTGCCGTAAATTGTACGCAATCGGGCACTCCGTTACGCCGGGCCTTTATTATAATCAGTGGCGCGCGGAGGAATTTCGAGAGCACACGCAGTGGACAAAAGTGTACAACGCCCACCCACTATGCGTTCCGCGGTTTTACTCGGGAGAACGTCAGCGTTCTATTCAAAACTATTTTACAAAATAATTAATACGTTAATATTTGCATAATTTTCTGTTTGAATATCAAAATCAATTCGAACTGTAATGATCTCTGACTTAACATACTCCTCGAGAACACGCGCGCAATCACAGTACTCAATAACCAGTCTTGGCGCCACTGTTTGCGGTCATAATTATTTGATTACAACGTGTAAGGTATTTGATAATTTATAATATTTTTTAAAGACGACGTCGGTTTGGTCGCGTTCTCTCGGGTGCACACTACGCGAGCAGGAGAAGGACCGACCCGGTATCATACATAGTTTCTGCAGAACTAATGGCGAAAACTGGGGATTCCGGTCGTTTCTTCCGCGGGTTTTATTTGTACTTTTTTCAAATAGGTAATTTTTAATATTCTGCGTACCTATTGATTTCGCATCGCGAAATTCGCACCGACGGCCGAATCGCGGACGAAATTTGTCTGTGCAATCGCCTCGGACTGTAACCATTGTGTTTTATTTTTTCTGGGGCACCGACGACGCGCCTAATGGTATTATTTGTTTTTGTTCACAAATCACAATAGTTTCTTATGATGTATACCGGCGGTGGCCAAACGGTCGATCGCGATCGGCCGGCACACCGCGGACGGTTTGTATTATTTTTCATCTCGCTTTTGTTACGATTTATTTTTACGCAACTAGTAGATAAACCGCAATCGCTGATTGTTTTTACATTAATATATTATCAATTGTCACTGTTTTGTCGCCGGCTTATCAAGTAATACAATTCGACAGCACGTTTATACCGGCCATTGTATTTAAAACGACGCTGTATCGGTTTCGATAATAGTACGATAAAAATTATTATTAAACTATATGTTTTAGTTTCATACCCACCGGGCGACGTATGTTATTATACGTTTTCGTAGGGGAAACCGGTCCCCGAAGGAAAGCAATGTTATACATAGTAGATCTCTACCATAAAAAGTTCGACCGCCCCCGATGTACGCAATGACGATACATCATAAGAAACACTTGACAATAATATTGCGTGTGTGGATCTATACGTTTTTTTTTTTTATACCGAAGAAGCGTTATGCGCCCGTAGACTAGTATTGACCAGTAAACCTTTAGCGCGAATATATTACTCAGAACGTACCTCGTACTGAGTTGCACCGGGCAATACACACCCGAGAAAGAAAAAGACGATAATCGCGCGTACGCCGTCAGCGTTCGTTTCGTTTACACCGTTGTTTAACTGATAATGACTCGCGGGCGCGTGCGTGTGATTAAATCAACGGTTTCCCGTGCGAAACCGCCGTTCGTCTTCTCCCGGACGCGCTTTTT